ATAAGAAAGGATCAAAGAAAAGATGATCTTCTGGACTCATTTCTAATCAACAACTCAAATTCCATCAGAAAATAAGATCAAAGGATGATATCTTCTCAAGCAAATCTACTTACCAGAAGTAATATTCATAAGAAGACAAATATCATCATAAGTACCAATGCACTCAACAGAAGAACTATTGTGACCTTCTCTAATAGAAACATCAGTAGTTCTAAGGAATGCTGAATATTCATCACAAAGGGAATCAAGTATGTTCTCAAGAAAGTGTCACTCTTAGATCAGAAAACATATAAGCTTCCAAAGAAAGAAAATAAATCATGATTAGACAACAAGATTTAGCTGACATAAGTTGTTGCTTTCAGCTCAATCCAAGGATCAAATTTCAAGAGAGCAGAAAGAAGGAATTCAACGTAAAAATAAGATGTACTGATATAAGTTGTTGCTTCAGAAATCAGACATCAGATATACAACTTAGAATAGCTGATTATCAAGAATCAAGTATCAACTCAATAATTCAAGATCAGAAGAGCATTCACCCAAAGAAGTTGTTCATCAGATAAGTTGTTGCTTGTATATCTGAAGACACTGCTCAAATATTTGAAAGACTATGACTCTACAACAAAGAAGAATATTCTAGATCACTATCACTCCTCAATCAGAATCAATCCAGCAAGAAGAAAAGAATCAAAGCTCAAGAATTCAAAGACTTGAGAATCAAATAGACTTTTCTCATAATATCTGATTTCAAGGTCCATCATTGGAAAAGTTTTTGATATCTTCATCAGAAAACCTTTCACGTACAACCACAAGACTTGTTTCTCAGATAGGTTGTTGTCGATCATTCTGAAAACAAGAATCCACTATTGAAAGTATCTGAAATGAAACATCTTCTTAACAAAATCTTCATCTCTCAGATCAGAAAAGAAATATGCCTTCAAGAGTAGTTCTAGATCATAAGAAAAGCTTCGTGTTTCAGATAGGTTGTTGCCCATGATTCTGAAGACAAGATTTGGTTCTGAACTATCTGATGTTCCTACACTACAACAATAAAGTAGTTTCTAAACTACTCATCAGTCATTCATCAGAAGAACTAAGACAAGTGATTTATCTCTTCCAAGCTTAATACTTGAGAATCATAATTACATCATCAGAAGATAAAGATCAAGAAACTTAGTCAATAAGAAAATAGTACATTGGTTGTACTATTCATAAAAGTTGTTCTCCCACTGACATACACTATCTACTGCATGTAGCAGGTATAGGAAAGTGACATTTTGTACTATTCCAAACCTCTCTTGAATATATCCATTGAGAATTAACTGTTGGAAAGGGAAAAAAAACTTCTCTAGTTACAACGATTCTTTTATTTGAAGGCTATAAAAGGAGAAATATGAAATGAAGAAAAGTTGCTGAAAATCCATGGATGCAGAAGCTGTTAGAGTTGTTACGCTGAACATGCTGAAGCTAACCAAATATGAAGAAAGAAGATGAAGAAGAAGAATTCTACAAGATGCTATTCAAACTATCAATCCTATACATCTTGGAAGAATTATGAAGAAGCAAGGAATTATTTCTCATAGCTTGCTCAACAAAGAAGATAAAGACAAGAAAACTACAATATGTTGCACTCAATTTAGATTATATTCATCTTTGTAGAAATAATGTAAAACACAAGAGTTGTTGCTAAGATTGTGTTATTTCTTAAAATCCTCATGTAAGTTATTTTCACACAATAGTTGTTGCTTAGAATTGTTTCAAACAATATGTACTTAAATTATGAGTAATCTACTTAATAAGAAGCACTCATGTAATCTCTAAAAAAAACAATTCTGTTTAGAATTGGTGGTTGATAGAAAAAATAACAAGTGCACTATTTTTGCCTTGTAGTAATTTGGGAAATTCCCTGAATGTTGATCTCAAGGATTGCATGCAATTATCGAGTTCAATTCACGTTCAATTAAACAAAAACTTTAACAGGGGTTTTGGTTTAGGAATTGTCACTTTGCAAAAATAAAAGTAAGAAGAGTGTATATTAGGGTTTTTTCACATATATGATGAGTATGCAAGGGTATGGTGTATAATTTTCCTTATAACAACTTTGAATCCTGATCTCTTAAATAATTTCATATCCTTCAATTACTAGCCCTTTAGATTATCTTCCCCCAAGTCCTTAGTTGGAAAACCTTTAACCATCCATCCTAAATCCTAAGTCCTTAGAGATATCTGTTGGAGTCAAGCCTTTATTTTATCAAGAGTTAAATTTGGTAACTATAGGGTATTCCTAGTCCTAGGTGATATCTAATATAGCCTAATTACACAAAAACCTTAACAACTGCAGTCCAGCTGGTTGTTAACCGTAAATCAATCTTAATTTGTCCGATTAGGAAGGCATAAAAACATTGTACAATTAAATTGAGTAGAGAAGACTTTATTAAAGAAATCAGGAATTCATAATCGTTACATATTCAAATCAGGGACACCCCCCTAGCCTTGGGGGTTTTAGCTATTCATATTGTTCAAAATAATCACAAGACTAAATATAGACATTAAAAGGATTTGAATGAACTTTGATCTTCAATTGCTTCCGCGCATGAAAATCTTCCGCTCTCCAAAAACCTTGACTTCTCTAATCTTCAGTCGTGTAAAATATTCTTCGCTTCCAAAAATTCCCCTCATTCCTCTTTCAAATGTGGTTAAATAGTGAACAATCCAATTATCTCGGTCGGAAATGCCCAAAACGCCCCTTTGGGTCCCAAATCATGAAAAATTATAAAAACACTCAAAATCAGCGTCCTAGCCGACGCTGGCTGTGTCATATGACACGGGCACCCGTGTCATTCTCTGTCCATCGCACCAACAAATTCTTTCGCCCAGGCCTTCTGACATGGGCCATGTCAGCTGACACAGGTACCCATGTCAGCTTCTGCCTCTCAAACCGCCTGTTGATCATCCTCTCTTGACATGGTCCGTGTCAGGCGACACAGGTGGCCGTGTCAGGTACCATGTAACTTGGTTTTTGATACTTTCTCCGAAACTACGACTTCTACACTTTTTGCACTGATTTTCCTGGTTTTATTCCTCTGAGCCTGAAAACAACAAAATACACAACCAACGCATAAAACATAGAAGAATGAACTAAACCACTTGACAAAATAAAGAAACTATAATTAAAATCAACTGTAAATAAAGGTGGAAAAACCACTGATCATTAGTTCCTCAAGTGATTGAGTGAAGATCAGAAGACTTGAGAAGACGAGTGGCTGCGGTCGTCGTGGATGAAATCATATTCTAAGGGATCAGTTTGGTCAGAATCCTTATGCGGTCAATGATAGCTATATCTCTTAGGGGACCGGGAAGGTCAGCGTTCTTAAGAGGTCACTAACTGAGGACCATTGTGAGAAATTCCCTTTAGAAAGACCAGGTTGTTCATATTTCTGATAGGGTCCTCGATCGTGATATCTCGTAGAGATCACTGAACGTATCATTGTATTGTTACTTGAGAGACTCAGTTGGGTCAAGATTCTCAAGAAGACATAGACTGCGGTCTTTGTAGAAATGGAAATAAGGATTAGCTGAACTTGTTGTGGATGTCAGCAAGGTTGATCGGACTTATTGTGGGTTGTAATCAGATTTGGTTATAGTGGATTAAGTCCTTGTTGAAGGCAAAATCACCCGAGGAAGGTGGATAGGAGTAGCTTAGTTAACGGTGAACCTGGATAATAGAATGTGTCTTTTTTATTTCTATCATTTTATATTCTTTCATAGTTCAATCAAATAGTTTTCTAAAGGGGGGTGTTTTCTAAAAACCCAATTCAAATCCATTTTCTTGTGTTTTCTCTACCTTCAATTGGTATTAGAGCCCGACTCTGTTATTGATTTTTGAATCAAACACTTAACCGTATAGAGAGATTCATCAAGAGAAAAACTATAAATGCTATAGATTGAAATGAAAGAAAGAGGGATCCTTTCAAACATTCACGTTAATCAGAAAAGGCATCATGATTCTGATAAATAACTCAGAAATATCAAAAATAAGATATATCATAAGAATAATCTCTATTGACTTCCAGCTGAGCAAATCATGACAAGAAATCATCAGAGACACGTGGAAGAAATAATGGTTATGCATGAAGACA